GGGTCCCCGAGAGAGTGAGATCAATACTGATCAATACTGGGGGCTGATCGGAGTCCCTCAGAGAGTGAGATCAATACTGGGGGCCGATCGGGGTCACTGAGAGAGTGAGATCAATAGTGATCAAGAGTGAGAGAGTGAGATCAATACTGATCAATACTGGGAGCTGATTGGGGTCCCTGAGAGAGTGAGATCAATACTGATCAATACTGGGGGCCGATCGGGGTCACCGAGAGAGTGAGATCAATACTGGGGGTCGATCGGGGTCACTGAGAGAGTGAGATCAATAGTGATCGATACTGAGAGAGTGAGATCAATAGTGATCGATACTGAGAGAGTGGGAGTTGGGGAGAGAGCAGCCCCATGGCTGGAGCAGTGCTGTGTGCAGGTCTGCAGACTGGGCTTTTCTTCATGCAGCAGTGCCTGGAGCTTTCCGTGTTTCTGTCCCGTGTGTGTGTTTCCAGGACACGTGTGACGGCGCTGACCAGGGCCGTTTCTCCCTCGAGTCCAAGGTGGTCTTGTGTGAGACCCTGGGGCCCACCTGCTCCCGGGCCGTCCGGCTCACCGTTGGGGTGAGAGGCCTCTCCGGACACTGCAGACCGCCGCTCCCCCCGTCCCTGTGGATGGCAGCAGCAGGTCTGGGCCCCAGGCTGCCCACTGCTGTGGACAGGGCAGGCTGGGCGGCTCTCCGGCAGCACTTCACTGAGGAACGGGGAAACTGGCTGAGCTCTTTCTGCTGTTCTGAGATTTCATGAGTACAGATTAGATTGTTTCCCCTTTATATTATAACAATAACAGCAACAGTTGTCACTACAACTGTTGTCAACTACAATACAGCCAGCAGCCATATCACCCTGCAACTCACAACTGGCAGCCCACTGGAGCTCAGCAGTGTGAGCCTGGTCAGTACCTGGATGGGAGACTCCTGGGAAAAACTAAGGATGGTGCTGGAAGAGGTGTTAGTGGGGCCAGCAGGGGGCGCTCACACTGTGGTCCATGTGGGTCCTTATGCCCCAGTATAGTGATGGGGACACTACACTGTAAACAGGCGCCGTCCTTCGGATGAGACGTAAAACCAAGGTCCTGACTCTCTGTGGTAATTAAAAATCCCAGGGCATTTCTCGAAAACAGTAGGAGTGTTACCCTGGTATCCTGGCCAAATTTCCCATTGGCCTTTACCAGTCATGGCCTCCTAATAACCCCCCTCTCTGAACTGGCTTCATCACCCTGCTCTCCTCCCCACTGAGAGCTGGTGTGTGTGAGAGGACTGGAGCATCATCCAGGTGGGGCTGCACACTGGTGGGGGTGGAGGGGATCCCCATGACCTGTAAAGCGCTCTGAGTGGAGGGGCCAGAAAAGCACTATATAAGTGTAAGGAATTATTAATTATTATTAACAGTTTCTTCATCTGCATGCCACTTTTACATTTTGAAAAAGAAATGTACATTAGAGACCCAGATACTGTTAGCTAGCTGTAATCATTTCTGGTTGCAGTAACTGAATTGAGAATATTCAGCTTTGAACATCTGTGTGCAGATCCTAGATTGAGGCACTGAGACACATACCTCACTGCGCCCTCTCGCTGTCCCTGTTGAGCATGTCTGACCACCCTGCTGTCCGGCTGCTCCTGTAGGACGTGTCCATAGAGCTGGCTGGCGAAACGTACACCATCACTCCCCCGTCCGCCTCTGCCAACTTCACCGTCCATGACAACAGCCTGTATCTGGTCGTTACTGCCACCATCCCCTACAGCAGCAACAAGCTGGTCCTGATCTGGAACAGAAACATGAATCTCATCGTCAAGCTGATGAAGAGCACCC